ATTACTGTAGAAGGTAGTGTGTGGTGTGGGGGGGGGGGGGGGGGGGGGGTTTATAATAACTGTCCATTTATTTGAAGTGGCAACTAAATTAGAATCTCAATCATGAACCATATGTAAATTAAGTGGTCCATGTAAGTTTTGAAAGGAAAAAAGGATACACACATATAGAAGTTGAATGTTAAAAAAGTTTCTATTTGAGCTTTAAACTGTGGAAAAGCCAATGTGGCTGCTTTCTTTCCTGGTCAAATGTTGCACTGGAGCTGCTCATGGGGGTGGTGGGGTCACTGCGTACTCCCCCTCTATCCGATTTAAACGAGGCAGACGAATCGAGCTCTTTCATGTCCTTATTATTGCTCGTTTTCGATCCCTTCTTGCTCGCGCTACTTCCAATGCTCAATGTCAGCTCCACATCACTATCTTCATCAGGGCCATCTATTCTCATCTTGCTACTCTTGAGGGCATCGTTAGATCTTCGACCTCCTGTTTGATCTTCGTCCGCAGCACTGACTCCGGTGGAGATGTCTTCTGCTGCAGCAGGCCTTTCGAGATCAAATCCCCTCAAGATTCTCGTTGTGTCTCCAGAGTAACTACCACTACACTCCCTAGAATTTAGATCATCTCTCATGCTCTGGATCATGTGGAAACTAGCTCCCGGGGCGTGTTTTGTTGCCGGTTGCTGCCAGTTAATTAACTGAGAAGTACTGATGTCTGAGCTAGTCATGGGATTCCAAATTTTACTTTGCTTAATTTCTTTCTTGACTTCATCCATCAGCATTTTCTGAACGCTATACAGCCGGTGCAGTTCCCTTACCTGCAAATTTTGTGTAAGCTCTTTGTTATATTCGATATCACCACCTTCAAAGTCCAGAAAAACTCTGCTCTAATGACAATTCCATTGGAAGATTCTAAGGTTCAAGACTACTATTAGAAGCAAAATAGTGTTTGACAAGTTGAAAATTTAATTTGATCGTATTTCGATCAGTTATCAAAGTCTCCGAAAATTGAAAATCGGTAAACTTTTCTTCATAGTAGCATTCAAATGACATATTTGTATCCGGTAACATCTATAAAAGATCACATTTAAGCGTACATTGATCAATGTGGATGAGAATTAGAGTTCATACCTGGTGTTTGAAGATATCATCATGCATCTGCATTGTCTTCTTGATGGAATCCACATTGTACTTGTCTATCATCCTGTCCATTGATTTCTGAATCTTGTTCTCCAACCCGGTCGTCGATGAATACTTCCCCTTCACCCCGCTGTTCTGAAGATATTCCCAATCATCCACACCGTGCACCGTAAAGCGCTTACTATTCTGCGAGGCTGTTCCTAACGGATTGACGGCATACTCGATTTTGGTTCCCATACCTGAAGTGATATATGGAAGTCAGAATTCTTGCTAGCAACTGATGTCTTATGACATACATGTTTGAGGAAATACAGAGCTATGTGTAACATACTACAAAACTACACAAAACTGGGATAAAAAAGAATAAGGAAGAAAAGTACTTAAATATCACTTATGATTTCTTTTTCTTTCTTTCTTTCTTCTTTTTTTTTTTAAAAAAAAAAATTTATCATCATCTTCTTTGTCTTTCAGTGGTGTTTGGGGGTGATGTGAGAAGCCACTATGTTTAAGGTGGAGACAGGGTTGACCACAAGGCTAAAACTATATTCTTATCTTGCATATCTAAGCACCAAAACACAAATGGAAGTATCTCATCACATTGAGAGCAATCTTAAACCAATTGATGCTAAATGCTAATAGTGTTCACTAATCAAAGATGGGATTTTTTTTTTTTTTTTACATCCTAAAAATTGGTGCTCGAAGATTTTATTGGTTTCCTTTATGGGTTACACAATGCAGGCTTCTTTTTTTAGTCTGTTCAATTTTAAAAACAGAGGGCTTTTAGTGGTATGGATTGAAGGAGGGAACAAAAAGAATGGTTCTAAAATTGCATTGGGAAACTCCCAAAGTGGTAATCAAACAATCACCAGAGAATGAAGAAGGAAGAAAAAAAGGAAAATGGGATGTGGGCAATAGTGAGGACCAAAAATGGTGATGTGGGTCTGCCTTTAAAAAACAATTCTTGTTCAGTGTATATTTCTAAAAGCACCATCATTGGGTATTAACAGTGATAATTCATTTTCTGGAAATTGCTCTCTAAGAGAGTGTCCACTTCTTTCTGTTTCTTTTCAAGCTAAAGTAAAGTTGTTTTTTTTTTTTTTTTTTTTTTTTTTTTTGCCTCTTGTTATATATCCACATGATGATGAAATCACCCAACACCGTAAGGTACATGAGAAAAAGTCAAGAAGGAACTTAAAAGCAAGCAAAATTAATAATCTGGATTAAATCATAATTAGGGGACCATTATAAGTTCTCATAACTAGAACCTTTGTGAAAGTATTACCCAATATATATATATATATATATATACCGGAAAAAAAAAAAAAAAAAAACAAGTATCTCAGATTTACAATATGGCAATTCTGGAAATGGAAAAACATTTTAAACATTAACGGAAAAGAACAAAAAAGAAAAAAAGGGGGAAAAAAAACACATATAGAAGTGAATTGTGGTCACTGTTGAAGCTCAAGAACTCCAAATTTCCGTGTTATGATTCGTCTTACCTGAAATAGAAAGAGACCCAGATTCTGATTCTCACCTATGATGCTCATTGAGAATTCCCAACCTTCATGCCAATTCTCCCCAGCTCTCTCTCTCTCTCTCTCTCTCTCTCTCTCTCTCTCTCTCTCCAGAGAAATACGATTCACAACAGCAGTGGAACAGCAACAACTAAAGACCAAGAAAAGCAGTAGTGCCAGCAAATTCCATGCATGCTAATATTTCGATCAAATCCATATATTTCTTCTTCTTCTTCTCTCTTTAGTTTTCCGTACGTTTTGACGGAGCAATCTAAGCAGTACTAGTAGAGGCTCTGAGGGTGGTGAATTCGGAGAAGATTCCTTTGACACCACTGCACCAGCAAATCTGTTTGGCAGACCAGAAAATTAATAAGAAACCAATGATCTGATCTCTCTCTCTCTGCAGTCTTCTCTCTCTCTCTCTCTCCACTCTCTCTCTCTCTTGCTTATATTTTACTTAGAGAAACAACAAAGCCAAACCCTTTTCAGTACTAAAAAAATCATAATCATGGTGTTAATAATTCAGCCTTGACAGGCTGTGAAGTAAGGAGGCAAGAAAATATGCTGGAGTTTTGCAATGTCTGGGTGTTTGTGCTATGAAATATTTTTCTATTTCTTTTTTCGTTTTTGTCCAATACTAAGAGAGAGAAATTTACTTAGATGGGTTTGTGGCAAAAGTTGATATATATGTGTATCTATATATGTATATGTTGAATTTGTTTCTTGTTGCATTTATTAATTAAATTGTACTTTGTACAATATATGAATGATATTTCATTTCATATATTTGTGATGCAGTGTGAGGTGGGAGGAAGATCATCAGAGAGAGAGAGAGAGGAGTGAGAAAGTGGGGCCCACAAAGTAATAAAATAAAACCAAATGACAATCCTATACATGAGCCAATTAGGTAGGCCAGTGAACAAGATATTCCAGACAAAGTCTTTGCAGGACATGATCAAGATGTGCATGAATGATGGAAAGACAATATCCCATCGTTAATTTTGTTATATTATTAAAATATAGTAAGTTTTTCTTTCATGGTCTACAAAATTTTATCTTCAATCGTTAAATTTATATTAAAAATTATTTATTTTATATATCTTTTAATTTAATATGTTTTTAATTAAATTTAATAATTAGAAAATTAACGATCGGAAGGTTTTATTAGAATAACTCTCTAAAATATATATGTATGTACGTGTCTATTTTTTTTTCTTTTTCTCTTTTTTATTTTTATATCTTTTCTTAAATGTATATATTTATAGAAATTCAACAAATGCCTGGCAATTGATTATTCTCTCCGTACTAAACAACCATATCTAGTCCAGCCTCGTGATTAGATTTCATTCTGAGTACAGAAACTCAGGTGTTGGATTTCCATAATTTTTTTTTTCTTTTTTCTTTTATCACATGTTGTTTCCAATAAGTTGGTACACCTGTATCTGCATGTAGTAAAATCTCTTTGGTGCGTTGAATTAGTGTATTTGTGTTATAATTTAAATTATAATTCGTGATTTATTATAATATTTTTTTTCATAAAAAATATTAATAAATAAAAAATAATTGCTTCATTTAAATTACATTTTTTTCTTTTTTTTGCTAAATTAACATTTGGATTGCATTTGGAGCAGTAAATTCTATCTACTGACGCATACAGGCAATGGACAAGCCTACAGGCAATGGACAAGTGGCATCAACAATGTTCATCTGTTTTTTCTTATTAATTAAGGGGAGATTCTTTAATACTGATGTACTGATAGATTAAATTTTTTTAATTATTAAATCTGTATATTTTTTTATTTTTACGTGATTTTATATAAATTTAATTATTAAAAAATTTGACATACTGGTATATTAGTGTACTAGAAAAGATCCCTTAATTAAGACCACAAACCTCCATTTAAAATCTTAGAAAATAATATTTGAGGAAGTAAGTAATTTTGATTTTTTTAGTGGAAAAAGTAAAAAATAATTTAAAATTTTCGGTTACAATGCAACTAAATTGTTAAAAACTTTCTTTCTCCCTTTTTTTACTTTCATTTTATCTATTTATATTTTTTTTCTTTTTCTTCAAATTAAACTAAGGTTGTAAAAGAATTTAATTCACTTTTTAAAGTTCTGAGTCTTAAAAATTCTAAATTTATATAATAGTATAGTTAATGTAGTTTATTCAGGATTCTAAACTTGAAAAACTTCTAAACGATAGTGGGCGTCATCTTGAAGTTGAAAAAAAAAATTGAAAAAAAAAAAAAAACAAAGAGAGAAAAAAGAGAGGTGAAAGGAGTGGGATGGTTGGAGTTCCAAGATTGTTTCTAGTGCATCACCGTGCTTCTGGTTCAAAAATTTGGTCTGCAAATGGGGGCAATCTACAACATAGAGCTTTTGGCTGGGTTTGGTATTACTTTTCGCTCCCAAAATCAACTTCTGTTCATAACAAAAGCAGATTTTAATATTTAGTAAATCTCCTTAAAAACGCTTTTTGAAGAATCTACAGTCAAAATCAGAAACAGCTCAAAGGCAACTTTAACTTTTAAATTTTGTAGGAATCAACATAGTACAATTAATGAAATTTTCATAATACCCATAATACCCCTAATGAAATTTAAAATTTACAATATTCTCAATCTAAAATTTATACTCATAATATAATATAATATAATGTAATAGTAATATTGTAACAAATAATATCATAATTCTATTAATAACTCTAATATTATTATTTTATCATATAATATAATATTATAATTATATTATAATTATTTCAATAATATGATATTGTAATTATAATATAATTATAATTAGAGATGTCAAACGTGTCGGGCCGGCACGGCACACTTGACCCCAGGTCCATCACGGGCCTAGGCCGTGCCTGGGCCGGGCTTAAGAAAAAAAACTCATGATAAATATATATTATATTGTAATTATATATATTATAATATAATATAATATAATATACTCGTAATTTTTAACTATCCACAGTAATTTAACCTCATAATTTACAAACGATATTACACTGATTTTGGAACCAACACAGCTACTATAATTATAGTTTACCAAACAGTCATATGCTTTTTGTAACAGCTGCTTTTTCTTTTAGCACAGCTAAAATTTTATTTTTTTTTAAATCTACAGCAATACTAAACTAAGTCTTTATAGGGACGAATTGGAGGTGGGACAAAGGGTGGTCATGGGTTTGTAGTGTTGTTATTGGTGTTTCTGATGCCTGGTGGCCAAAAACCTTCGAGGATTTGATCTCTGTGGCAGTGAGATTGTTGTGGTTGTTGCGGTGCAGTCTCATAGTAACTTCAGGGGTGGCACAAGGGTTTTATTCGCTTCTATTCAGGCCATGCTTCGACTTCACCGTGTATCTCTCAACTTCCTCTGCATTCTTAAGTGACTTTAGCATTGGTTGTCTCATTGCCGAAGGTTTAGTAAGCGATGCTTGGGATTTTTCTTTGGTGTTTCTATGTGTTGTGGTTTGAATAAAGGTGATTTTTACCATGATTAGGTGATATATTTGTGTTGTTTTCTAGTGTTAGGTTGTGTATTTAATTGGTCCGCTAGATTTATTTCTCAGCGGTGCTATGAGTTTCTCGATATTAGTGGATCAGATTTTTCCATCATTTGTAGAGTTTTTCCGAAGAGTCGTGTGCGTGCGTGATTATTTATGTACCTATTTGACTTATTCGTTTTTAGAACTTGATACATGTCTATTTTCTTTGAACGTCGTTCAGGTTTATTGGTAGAACCCGTTGTTCATTGTGGTTATAGTTTCCTATAGTTTAAGACCATATGGTTCATTTTCAGTGTTTATATATTTTCTTAGTTTATAATATATTTCCCTTACCAGGGTAAGACTTGAGATACAACTGAAATTTTTTAAACTATTCTATGTAAATATTGCAATTAAAAGATTTTGGGTGTCAGGGCAAACAAGTGAAAAAAAAAAAAAAAATGGAGGACAAAAATTCAAAGAGGCCGTGGAACCCTACTCCTATATATGCCTAGGGTAGCTTGTTCGATGTCTACATGGTACACACACACACACACACACACACACACACACACACATATATATATAATATTTACTAAGAAAAAAAAAGATCCTTGGGGCACTCATGCCCCTCTCAACGGTTATAGAAAGATCAATTAATTCCACCGGTACAATATCGAAAGCTTAAATCAATTCTCCACTCATTCACAACTATATTACCTGTCCACCACTAACTCCTTAAACTCAGGTAAGTAATTTGGTATATATATAGGCCTCCAATTTTTTTTTTCTTTTTTCTAGTTTTTAGTAACAGATCTCCCATTCTTTTAATTCTTCCCGATCTTTCCCTCAACCACAATCCATCCCTCCTAATTACACTCATAAAGTCTGTAATCTGAATACCACATCTCTTTGTCCAAACAAATAATAATAATAATAATAATAATAATAATAATAAAATAATAATAATAATAATAATAATAATAATAATAATAATAATAATAATAATAATACGCATAATAATAATACATAATAATAATAATAATAATAATAATACGCATAATAATAATAATAATAATAATAATAATAATAAAAGGCAAACATTAATATCAAATAAGGAAAAAAAAGTAGCTTCAGTTAGCTTATGCAAGGGGCTATGAACTAATTAAAAAAAATTATCTTCTCACCCCTTTTACATATAGTTGAGATGAGATGTGCTAAGCCTTTTCTATTTAGTTATCCCTTCTCTTCATTAGTATATTAAAGTTAAAGATTGATTCTCTTGAGAAATTTTTTTAAGCGAAATTCACTTGAGATATTGAACTTTAATTGGATAACTTTTTAACAGTACATAATTCTAACAGAATTTTTTTTTTAAAAAAAAGAGAAAATAATGTTGATAATAATTTGTAGACTCTAATTTTTTTTTTTAAAAAAAATTTAGATGTGAAGGAATTTGGACGTCCGATATCTCTTAATAAAATTAAGTGTAGACTTACCGCTAAGTTATAGCTACAACCACTTGCGTTTGGTTGGTAGATTCGTACTATGATTTGAATCATGGTTCGTGGTTCGCTATAACATTTTTTCTCACAAAAAATACACGTAAATCGAGAATGATTCTAAATTATGGTTACGAATCCATAAACCAAACGTCTAATTAAAACACTCTAATCGTAGAAGTAAATAGTGTATAGTTAAGTCCCATGCATATATAGTGTATCTATACATAATTAACGTGAGATTTCGCATTTCTAGGTGAAAAGATTAAGGAATGAAGTGCAATAATGCATCCATAACGACCACCGCAATAGTAAGTCAACCCACATTAATTAATTGAGTGCTTTTGAAGTTTAGCCCACAATAAGGAACATTCTCCACATCCCTTTTATATCCAATCCTTTTCAAGTAAGAAAAAGTGGCATTATCAACAACAATTGAGTTGCTTCTGTCTGTTGTTTCTTTTGTTGTTTATATATTTATTTGCTCAC